CGCGGAGCCGGTTTGTTGTTGGCTATGGCAGCAGCGGCAATGGCATTCTCCTCCTCCTTCCTGCGACTTCCCAAGATTTCCGCTCCACAGCAGGTACCGCAATCGCCTCCTTCAGCTAGAAACCTCTCAGGGGTAGCAAGATCAAGCGTGGAGCATGCCAATCCCATTAGAATGATCCAGGAAGAAAAGTTGGAGAGCCCACCGTCGCTCTCGCGGAGGCAAGCGGTGTTGGCTTCCACCACCGGCATTGTGTTGGCGGGGATGATGGAGCTCCATCCCTGCGCGGCATTGGCAGACTTCATCGAGGATTACAAATCGGACACCGAGGCCGTGATTGCCAAGGTGAAGGAGACGCTGGCGCTGGAGAAGACAGATCCGGCAAAGCCCAACGCGGTGGCGAGCCTCCGGCAGAGCTCAAACTCTTGGGTCGCCAAGTACCGGAGAGAGAAGAGCGTCGCCGGGAAGCCCTCCTTCAGCAACATGTACTCGGTGCTCAACGCCATCTCCGGGCACTACATTAGCTTCGGGCCCTCGAGCACCATCCCGGCCAAGCGCCAGCAAAGAATCCTCGAGGAAGTGAAAGACGCCGAGAAGGCGTTGAGTAGGGGACGATAGAACAAGGCTTTGACCAATAATCAAAATCTGGCATATTCACTGAAAGATGCCATTTTGGGTGTCATTGCAAATAGTCTGAGGTGGCAGACACCTGTACCATAAGCCGACACGTAGGCATATCACATGGGTAAAGGAGACCATGACACGTCAGTAAGTGTTAGTGTCCCAACGCTATAACCTAATTTTTTGTGGCAACGGTAGCTTGCTACCTGGCTTCTCCACGTGTCGCTTTGGCCCCAAGAAGCATTTGTAGAAATTATAGACTAATTCTGTTAATTTGACTTGCTTGTTACAATCTCTCTTTGCTATACCTTCCTGTAGATGGAATTGTTTAAAACCCTTCAAACCTTTGCAAAACACGAGCCGGGTCGGCGGCAGTCCACAGCACCGAGTCAGGCTTTGCAAGCGAATCGAATACCTAGTCTGTGCTCTGCACCGAGCGTATGAATCCAGCAGCAAGCACGCGATGATCGCGTTCTCGTCTGTGATTCCACGCCGGCATATCTCCGAGCGGGTGGTGACCATGGTGCCGCTGGCCTTGAGAACAGCCACGAAGCTCTGAGTGTCCGGCTCGTTTGATCGTCCATGACCATGAAAGCTAGCTCTTCTTCTCTACAATCTGCGAATCCTGTATGAGCGCGTTCCATGTAACCAAGTCGCGGTTCCAGCACCGGCAAAGTGTCGGCCATGCTCCCACACTTTGCATACGCGTCTACCAAAGTGTTCTTTATGAAAACATCCGCCGGTAAAGCGTGCACGGCCATGGATTTCTCCACTGAGACTGGCTTCACCATCGGACTCCTCCAATCCCAAACTCGTACAAGCCATCGAAAGTGTGACCATCAAAGTGGAAGCTTGTGCTACACTCCATACTTGCACGAGCCGTTGGCCATTCTCGGAGTTCCAGGAGACGACGCTATGGAAATCCATTCTGGCGAAGACTCCCACCATGGATGCTAACCAGCGTGTTTGCAATGTAAATGCCAGAGTCGTGTCCATTGTGGCGCCTGCGTGGACGAGCCTTCCCTTTTGTAGCTCCTGCACGCTTTCTGGGAGATCACCTCAAAGCTGAGCGATTTTAGCAATGAAACGTAGAGAAGGTGAAAGAAGAGCTTTCAAAGAGGAAGGAGAAGAATAACTTACAGAAAAATTGCATTCTAGCCTTGCTTGAACAACTTGAGAACGCATTTTCGCATCGCCGGTCAAGTTTGTATTGAGTTCGATGATATCAGAGCGAACTTAACACTATTGTGAAAAACAATTCTTATCGACCCTACTAACTTGTTTTCTCTTGCGCGGCTAGGCTCAGGATCTAGCACGAAAATAAAAAGCCTGCAAAGATTAAACAGCCACGAAGTTTCCAATTCGAGTATGGCTCTCTATTCCAAGCGAGACATCGAGACGAAGCTAAGAGCCATCTCCCATGCGACTCTGGAAATCCAGTTTAGAAGAATAAACCACTTCTAGAGTTGGACTCTTACTGCCGATAACTGAAGGGAAAGATCAGAGGACGTCAATCTTTTATAGAACGACGTCACATCGTTTTGTTCATCAGGCTCAAGAACTGACACAAAGTTCTTCCAAGAAAACGGGAAGATTGAGCTTGTGTTAAAGAAAAGTTCACACTTTCACCTGTTTATAGATCCAATCGGGCGAAACAAGCTGTGATATAAGCGCAGTGACACCTCCCGGATAAACTTGTGTGTAAGCAAGTCCTACCGTCTCTCCCAAAGAACCACCATCTTTCGAAAAGAAAAAACAAAGAACGAACACGTTGAAATTGTTTTAGGAGGTCCAGGAGCTGGATGCACGCGAACACACGCACAGTTCTTCGATCTCAAGCACTATCGTGTGACCCTACTAAAAAATTTAAATTCTAAACTCTCAACACATGCTATTCCCTTGATTTACGGGAAGAGATCCAAACGGAATTGATTCCAATCTCTTAGATGGTAATATTGGCAAATTTATAGACTTGTTTGATTGTTTTGATTGATATAAAAAAGTGGTATTTCGATTGATGATATGTGGACTACGTTACTGTCTAATTTTTTGGCTACCCGGCCTTCCACGTGTCATTTTGGCCTACCCCGTTTAAAGTTTAATTCTAAGAAGCATAGTTGTTGATTTAGGGTTTATGGGCAATTTTCTTAGGGTAGTGGTGGTTCATGGGCGATCCTGGCTCAACATGAATGGAGCTTTTTCAATCGCTCCAATGTCCTCGAAACGATCAATGCTTTGAGGTAATCTCCCAGCTCGTCACTGCCTTGAAATCATGCAGGAGCTCCAGAGACCTCCAAAAGGGAAGGCTCGTCCACGCAAACGCCGCTCACAATGGACACGACTCCAACATTTACATTGCAAACACGCTGCTCAGCATGTACGCTAAGTGTGGAGCCATGGTGGACGCTGCTCGAGTCTTCGCCAAAATGGATCGCCACAGCATCGTCTCCTGGAACTCGCTCATCCTGGGATACGCCGAGAACGGCCAAGGCGAGCTCGCGCTGGTTCTCTTTGCGAGCATGGAACGCAGGACAAGCTTCCACTTTGATGGTCGGACTTTCGTGGCTGCGCTGAAGGCTTGCACGAGTTTGGCCGTGGAGGAGTCCAAAGCTTCCGGCAGCAAAACGATGGTGAAGCCTGTTTCACTGGAGAAATCCATGGCTGTGCACGCTCTCGCGGCAGCCCGAGGCTTTCAAGAGGATGTTTTCGTGAAGAACACTTTGGTGGACGCGTATGCGAAGTGTGGGAGCATGGCCGACGCTTGGAGAGTTTTTGCCGGTGCTGGGAACCGCGACTTGATTACCTGGAACGCGCTCGTACAGGGATTTGCAGACTGTGGAGAAGAACAGCTAGCTTTCGAGTTTCTCTCGATGATGGAGGTGGAAGCTCTTCGAGCGGATGGTTTGAGCTTTACTGCCAGTTTCAAGGCCTGTGCCGGGCTGGCCGAGAAGGAACAAGGCCGGGAGATCGACGGGACGATGGTAAAGACCAAGGCTCTCGAGAAAACCATGGCTTTGCACGTCCAAGCTTCTCGGAAGAACTTAGACTCTCGCGAGATCATGGTGGTGAACGCTCTGGTTGACGCCTATGCCAAGAGTGGGAGCCTCACGGACGCGAGCAGGGCCTTTGCGAGAATCCAGAAGCGAGACTTGGTGCTGTGGAACACGCTCCTCGCGGGACACGCATCAAACGAGCACGGAGAGGAAACTTTGGATCTCTTCTTCCAGATGATCATGGATGATCACACCGAGCCGGATGCTCGGAGCTTCGTGGCTGTGCTCAAGGCCAGCGGCACCATGGTCGCCTTGAGCGCCACCCGGTTGATCCACTCGGAGATATGCCGGCGTGGAGTCGCGGACGAGAACGAGATCATCGCGTGCTCGCTGCTGGATTCATACGCTCGGTGTGGAAGCATGCAAAGCGCACTCCAGGTATTCGATTCGCTTGCAAAGCCTGACTCGGTGCTGTGGACTGCGTTGCTTTCAGGATATAGCCGCGAGGGAAACACCCGGCTCGTGTTTGAGACGTTCCGCGCGTTTCTCGACCAAGGCTTTCTTCCAAACAGTGTGACTTTCGTGTGCCTTCTCACGGCGAGCAGCCACGCCGGCCTGGTCGCCAAAGGCCAGGCGATCTTCCAAGCGATGGAGCTAAAGTTTGGGATCCAGCCAGGGCCGGAGCACTACCTCTGCGTGGTGGATCTCTTGGGACGCGGTAACAGGCTAGACGAAGCCGTGAAGATGGTGGAAGCCATGAAAGGTGCTACAGTCGGGCACTGGATGACCGTCTTGGGGGCTTGCAAGAAGTGGAAGAACGCAGAGATGGCAAAGCTCGCTTTCGAAAAGGTGGTGGAGCTGGACGAGAGAGATCCTGCTGCTTACTCGCTCATGCTTGCGACTTATGCGAGCTTGGGGATGTGGCAGGAGATGCCGCGAGTTTACGAGATGAGGAGGAAAGGTGGCGGGCTTGCGAGGCCGGGATTGAGCTGGTGGACGGACGAGACGGGGGCAGTGCACAAGTTCGTGGCCGGGGACGTGCGGCATCCACAGATGGAAGAGATCCAGCGAAAGTTGGGAGAGCTCGCGGTGAAGATGGACGAACAAGGCTACGTTGCGGACTTGGCGAGCTCTGCGAGGAAGAGAGCTTCCGACGCCGAGAAGGAGAGGTCACTGTGTTGTCACAGTGAGAGGCTGGCGATCGCGTGTGCGCTCGTGAATTCCTCCCCCGGGACTACGATCAGGATTGCGAAGAACTTGAGAGTTTGCGACGATTGTCACTCGGCGACGGCGTTTTTTTCCAGGATTGAGCGGCGGGAGATCATCTGTAGGGACTCGAGCAGGTTCCACGCGTTTCGCGATGGTGCTTGTTCGTGTGGAGACTTCTGGTAAGATTAAAGAGGTACTTTCATTCGCAAAAACGTTTTCCATTGCAACTCTAGCGAGCTAAGAACTTGTTTGTAGCTAGAACAAGCTCTCTTGCTATACCTTTCTCATACATGGAATGGCCAGAATCTCCCACTGCGAGTATCACCAGTTTAAAACCTTTGCGAAAAGCTTCTCAAGCATACCGATTTTCAGCTCAGCCTCTGGCCACGCGCAGTGAAGGTCGACCGCATTCTGGAAAGACGAAACATCTAGCAAAATGGGAAGGAAAGAATCGCGAATGACTCACAACAACGGGACAGACAAAATCGTAGCGACCATGGATGATCACACAAGGAATGTGTCTGATCCTCCTTACTCCTTCCAAGAGCTGCTGGTCTTTCAGGAATCCGTTTCTCATCTGTGGATGTGTTAGCAATGAAACAAAGAAGAAGAGAAAGAGAAAGAAGGAGAAGAAGAACTTACAGAGTAATGGCATTCTAGCCTTGCTTGAACAACTTGAGAAGGCATTTTCGCATCGCCGGTAGGAAGCCACTCAAGAGTTTGATGATCTACGAAAAAGAACATGCAATGGTCGTGAGAAACAATTCTTATCACTGTTAGACTACCAACTTGTTTTTTCTTCCGCGGCTAGGCTCAGGATCTAGCACGAAACATGAAAAGCCTGCAAGTATTAGAAGCAACAAAAAGATCAAACAGCCACGAAGGATTACAGCAATACTCTTACTTTTCCGGAAGGATTCGAGTATTGCTCTCCATTCCAAGCGAGCGATTGTTCTATTGAGAAGAAGCTAAGAGCCATCTCCCATGAAAACCAGGCCCGACTCTGGAAATACCAGTTATTTTAGAGGACGAAACTAGAGCTGGATTCTTACTGCTGATAGCTGGCGGGAGGGATCAGAGGAAGTCAATCTTTTGTAGAACGACGTCAAAACATCGTTTTGTTCGTCCGGCTCAAGAACTGACACGAAGTTCTTCCAAGAAAACGGGAAGATCGAGCTTGCACCGCCCTGGTGAAGAAAAGTATGGTGAAAAAAGAAAAGAAAAACTCTAAGTTCAAGTCCAAACTTTCACCTGTTTGTAGATCCAATCGATCTCCCTCTGGCGAAACAAGCACACTCCTCGCAGTATAAGCGCATGGACAACTTGTGGATAAGCTTGTGCGTAGGCAAGTCCCAGCGTTGCTCCCCAAGAACCACCAAGAACAAGCCATCTTTCGATAAGAAAAAACAAAGAAAGAACGATTGAGTGACGAGATCCTTCTTGGAGAGTTGAAAGTAAAGAGAGAAAAGTTCCAAGATGACGAACCTCTCGACGTTCAAATGCTTCCGTAGCTTCTCCAGATCATCCACAAGGTCCCAAGTCGTGTTCTCTTGGAGGCATCCTTTCGGCGTGGATTTGCCACAGCCTCTCTGATCAAACAGCACAATGTGATAGTGCTGGGAATCGAAGAACTGTGCATGCCTTCGTGTGCATCCAGCTCCTGGACCTCCATGAAGAACTGCAAAAAAAAAATTAAAAAAATCCACTTGAGAACTCACAGATTTCTACGCAAGTAAGACGCTCGACCGATCGCCACTTACACACGGCTGATTGTCCGCAACGATTTCCAAAAGTCTCATAGTAAATGGTGTGGAGCTCCGAGACTTTGAGGTAGCCATTAGAGATGCTGGAGCTGGGAGCAAACAAACTGGAAGAAACCGCGGCTCTACAAACAAAAAGGAAGATAAAAGACTTTGGGTCGATGGGTAGCAAACCTGGAGGATTGGAGCGACACATTTCTATGGTGGTGATGGACATAGCCGCCAGTGGAACCAAAGAACACCATCGCCATTCTTGGCGGAACTTAGGTCCTTCCTTTTGGAGCGGTGAGCGTGGATCGAACACGCGACCTTCAGATCTTCAGTCTGACGCTCTCCCAACTGAGCTATCCCCGCTTATCCGTCTAATTAATCCCATTATCAGATTAAGCACGATTTGTTCTTGAGCTAAACGAAAGACTAAAACAGAAAAAAATATTCCCTTGATTCGTATCAACAAGCTCTTGTCTATGGCCGAAGAAGATCAAACTGGGGACAGGAGCTGCGACTGCGAGGATGACAAATCCCCAAAATCCGTGCTGCTCTCCTCCTTGTTCTTCCCGGGCCTGGCATCGCCCAGCATTTGCACAACATCCCGCATCGTCGGCCTGTCCACCGGGAGATCGCTCGTGCACAGCAGCGCCACTCTCAGCACCAGCATGATCTCCTGGAGCGGCAAATTCTCCTCCCGGATCCGCGAGTCGAGCACCTCCAGCACCCCGTCCTTGGTCTGGATCTTCTTCCTCACCCATTGCACAATGTCCACTCCATCGCCAAACTCCGGCTCGATCGGCCGCCGCCCCGACACGAGCTCCAGCAGCACCACTCCAAAGCTGTAGATGTCGCTCTTCTCGTTCACCTTGAGCGTGTAAGCATACTCTGCGAAAGTTCCCAAAAGTTCGTTAGAACCGGACACTCAAGAACCCTAAAAAACCACCTCAAGAACCCCAAAAAACCGAGCTCTCTCTCTCACCTGGGGCGATGTAGCCATAGGATCCGGCGATGGAGGACATGGATTCCGATTTCCCCGAGTCCTGGAAGAGCTTGGCGAGGCCGAAATCCGCGACGCGCGCCTGGAACTCGGCGTCGAGGAGGATGTTGTTGGATTTGACGTCGCGGTGGACGATGAGCGGCGAGCAGTCGTGGTGGAGGTAGCACAGCCCATTGGCGGCCTGGAGCGCGATCTTGTAGCGCGTCGCCCAGTCGAGCATCACGGCGCCCTTGCTGGATCCATGGAGCGCCTCCCCGAGGCTGCCATTGGGCATGTATTCGTAGACGAGGACGTTGGTCTCCTTGTTGGAGCAAAACCCTAGGAGCTTGACGATGTTGCGGTGCCGGATCTTTCCCAGGGTCTGGACCTCCGCCGAGAATCCGTGATCGCTGTGGCTCATGGAGCCGCCGATCTTGCCGCGCGCTACCCCTGCCGCGGCCGCGGGATTGAATCCCGAGAGCTTCTTCACCGCCACGATCTCGCCCGACGGCATCACGCCCTTGTAGACGATGCCCGATCCACCGCGGCCGATGATGTTGTCCTCGTTGCTCAGGCATTCCAGGATGTGGGCGACGCTGAATCCCCCCAGCTTCTGGAACGCGGTGAGCTTCCAGGCCCCGGCGCCGCGCGATCGCGGGCGCAAGAACCCTAGCCGGCAGAGGTAGCGTCGGTACTTCCGGAAGAAGCAGCACACGCCCACCACCAGCACCAGCAGCGCCGCGGAGAAGAGCGCGCCGACGAGCCACGCCAGGAGCTCCGGATCGCTGCGCCCGCGCCCATGGCCGCCATAGCCGCGAGAATTAGGGTTCTTGGGGCACGGCCCCAGCGGCGCGCCACACAGCCCGAGATTCCCCACGTAGCTGCTGCGATTGAAGGCCTGATCCGTGGCCGGGATGGCGCCGCTGAGGCGATTGTAGGAGAAATCCACCGAGTTGAGGCTCTGGAGCAGCGCGATCCCCCGCGGGATCCCGCCCGAGAATGCGTTCCTGGAGAGGTTGAGCACGCCCAGCACCTCGAGCGCTTCCAGCGATCGCGGGATCTCGCCGGAGAGCTGGTTGACGCTGAGATCCAGCATTGTGAGCGAGCGGCAGCTGCCGACCTCTGGAGGAATCCCTCCCGAGAAGAAATTGTGAGTGAGATTGAGCTGGAGGAGCCATTGCATCCGCCCCAGCCCCGCCGGCACCGCGCCCGCGAGGCGATTGTAGGAGATCTGGAGCTCCTTGAGCATGGAGAGCGCTCCAATCCCCTCGGAGATCTCCCCCCGGAGAAGATTCTCGCTCAGATCGATCTTCTCGAGCTTGGGCGCGGCGAATTCCTCGTCGCCCATGACCCCGTCCAGCTTGTTCCTCATGAGCTCCACCATGTCGAGATTGGGCAGCGCGAACAGCCCCCGCGGGATCGCGCCCGAGAGGAGATTGTCGCCCAGCCGGACCTTCTCGAGACTAGCGCACGATCCCAGCTCCTCGGGGATGGATCCCGAGAGGCGATTTTGCTGGAGGATGAGCGTCGCGAGCTTCCCTCCGCGGCAGAGGCTGGATGGGACGCTCCCATTGAGCGCGTTCTTGGAGAGGTCGAGCATCCATAGCTGCCCATTCCCGCCCAGGAACTCCGGGATGGCGCCCACGAATCCATTCCCCCATAGGAAGAGGACTTCCAGATTGGGCATGTCGCCCACGAAGGAGGGGATCTCCCCGGAGAGATTGTTGCGGAAGAGATTCAAGAGCTTGAGCTCCTGGAGCTTCTCCAGGCTCGCGGGGATCCCTCCGGTGAGCTGGTTGCACGAGAGATCCAGCGATTGCAAGGCCCGGAGGCCGCCGATCGCGTCGGGGATGGATCCGGCGAGGGAATTGAGCTGGAGGAAGAGCGTGTCGAGGCGGCGGAGCCCTCCCAGCTCGATCGGGATGGAGCCATTGATGCCGGCGCTGGCGAGATCGAGGCGGCGGAGACTCTTGAGCCGTCCGAAAGATCGAGGGATTCCTCCGGAAAAGTGGTTGTAGTAGCCCAGATAGAGCTGCTCGAGCGACTCGAGATCGCCCATCTCGGCCGGGATCTCGCCGCTAAGATCGTTGCCCGAGAGCGCGAGGTATTGGAGGCTCTTGATGGATCCATACTCGCGTGGGATGGAGCCCGAGAAGAGGCTGCCGCCCAGGTGGACGTGGGCGAGCAATGGCAGCGCCGAGAGGCCGATTGGCAGCGCGCCCGTGAAGTTGTTGTTGTAGGCGTCGAGGATCGCGAGCGATGGCGAGGCGGAGGAGAGATTGGCGGGGAAATCGCCGCTGAAGTTGCAGTGGGAGATGTTGAGGTAGCGGAGGAGCGGCAGCGCTCCCAAGAGCTCCGCCGGGAGGGCGCCGCCGAGATCGTTGACGTCGAGGGAGAGATTGGCGAGGGCGGAGAGGCGCGAGAGCGTGCCCGGCGCGATCGATCCCGAGAGGCTCATGTTGGAGAGCGTGAGAGAGGAGACGCGGTTCTGGGAGTCGCAAGTGATTCCTGTCCAGCGGCACGGCGTTGCGTCGGATTCGTTCCAATCACGCAGGTGGGTCGCTGGATCCTCGATCGAGGCCTTGAATGCCAGGAGTGATTGGCCATCCGGTGTCAATCCCTCTGCCGCGGCCGTGAAGAACACGAGGATCGCCAAGAACAGGGGAGTGATGGGCGTCATCCCTGATTTGGCGATCGCGATGGGAATGGAATGTCGTTGATCTTGGGACGAGAAGAGCTAAGCTAGAGCTGGACACTTCACCTGATTCGCGATGACGCGTCGCGCTCGCCCGCCATAGCCAGGCAGAATCAATCAAGCTATGGTGGCGATGATGAGCGCTGTGATGGAGGGGCAAATTCGGGGAATGGCAATGCTGCTCCCGGGCGAGTGTGGGTGATGGGGGGATCGATCTTTTGCGCCATTGGGTCCCTCACATTCGCTCCAAATCATCACTTTGACGCCGCGCTGTGGCTCGCACACTGGGGACAAAAGATTTGGGGAAGAACAGAGTGTCGAGAGGAGGAGGGAGAAGAAGATGGAAAAAAAAAGTTCTTTTGTTTGTTGCTCGTCGTCTTTGTGTCAGATCACTGCTGAAAAGAGGGAGGGGCGAGCTGTGCGCGAATCATCCACGGATGCGCAGAATGACACAGGGGAAAAAATCGCTAAGAAAAAAAGAAAAGGAGCTTGGAAGGACCGAGAACTCCTCGCTACACAGCACTAATCCGTGAAAGCTATGGCGTGTCTGTTGGTCGGTCCCCAGCTCCAGCGGAAAAAAACTAAATAAAAGCCCTCTCTCTCTCTCGATCGATCGATCGATCTATCGATTGTTCGCTTCGTCGTCGTCCCCCTCTTTCTTTTGATTTCTAATCACCACCCGCACTAGCACACACACACACACTCTCGAGAAGAACAGTGAAAGGGCGCGAATCAATGCGGGGCCTGGCGGCTGCAAAGACGAGATTCTAAGACCGCCCAATTCGACCCATCATCCCGATGCATCGACCAAAGCCTCCAGAGATCCAGCAATCCAGAGAAAAAAGATATGAAATCTCTCTCTCGCGCAATCGCAATCAGCTGGCGGCCGAGCTCTCAAGCTCCAGTGCTATGCCTAGGACTGAGACGAAAAGATGAGAAATTCGAGATTCGAGATTCCTCTTTTGGCCGCGACTCGCGAGGAAGAAGAGGAGAAGAAGAAGAAGAACCCTAGAAAGCTATAGCGCGCGCGAGATGCGTACTCCTGACTGACACAAACAAATTCTGGCAGTCAAAGAGGAGAAATTACTCGCTGCGATCTCTCTGCGATCGCGAGCAACAATGTCGACTGCTAGACGACGCAGAGCTCACGGACAGTGAGAGCGATGTAGGCGATCGATCAAGTCACTGTGTTTCTTCGTTTTTCTTTTTCTCTTCTTTGGAGGTTTCGATCAATCGACAGCGCTGGGGATGAAAACAACCCCTCCCGAGCCGACGCGACGCGAGCGTTTTTGAGCGTTTTTAATTCTCCTGGGTCGAGCCAGCTCTTATCTTCTTCTTTTAGGGTTCTTGCCCGCCTTTTAGGGTTTTACAACAATTTCACCTGGCACATTTACTGCGCACTTTCAATGTAGTAAAAACTGGCAGTGCTGTCCTTGTTGTTTGATTTACATGAAATTACTTTTGACTGCGCCCGTGCGACTTCTAAAATCCCGCTTAAAACTTAACTCTATCTAAATCCAAGGACGTAGCGTAGGTAGTAGGTACGGCGCGGGTGCATGCATGGCTACGTACGGGATACCCCACCTTCTACGTCGCCGTCAACTTGAATGAAAAATATTTTGATCCTTGGCTGTGTTCGTATGATTTTAGGGGTTTGTGTCACTCTCCGAGAGTTCTTTGTCACCAGGGGGATTATTAAATCGCTCGCTCGCTGCTTAAATAATCGAGACAAGGACGCTGTAGCATATGACAAAGAGACAAACTTCTCCAAAAGATTATGCGATACGAGGCATGTGATGAACACTCTCTACTAAAATGGATCAAAACGCGAGGGCGATTGACAAAGATGAGCGAGCGTCTAGGCCTAGCAGACAATAAACAAGACAAGCGCTTGTTCGCAAATCGCGATCTCCAAACCTCGTGCTTTGGTCTAAGTTATCAACTTCGTCTAAACAAGACGTCCAGTCCAGGGACTTTTTACGGAAGAGGTAAGCGCGATAAAACAAAGGAAAACTTTACAGGATTGCGTAAGCCGGCGATGAGAGCAATGAGATGAGATGAGATGAGATGAGATTCACGTTGCCACGGCTCCCGTGACGCAAGCTCTTTGACCGCGCCGAGTCCATTCAATCCCATTAAAAACACTTTAGGGCTTTCGTCCAGCGCGGCGTGTACGGTGATTCCGAGCAAAGTGTTGGAAACATGTCTTCGGAGGAATCTGCGTGCTGTCTTCCACTCAAAAAGCCAAGACGCGAAATTATTCCAAATAGTATAGCATATTCTAGTTCAGAGCATCTTTCTGTAATATGCTCATTTTAAAATTTTTTCTCCAGGGCGGGAATTGAACCGAGAACTTGGGATGCCAGGTGTTGAATCTGCCGCGCTCGGTTTCATGCACGAATTGCCGCCACCTTCGCTGGTTTTTAGGTATTTCACTTCTTCTTCTTCGTCGATCTTTGGGTGGCGAAGCGAGAAGAAGGCGCGCGATTGGAGTGGATTGAGAGGAAATGCTGGATTCTTCCTCCTCCTCCGGGGGAGAGATCACCAAGGAATGGCTTCGCAAGCACTGCCGGAGATTAGGGCTCTATGTCACGCCCTCTCTCAATGACAAGCTCTATCTCCACTACCAGGGCTTTGGAGAGATCAAGAACCTGGAAGAATACACTGTGAGCGATCTTCGTTCTCTTCGATTGCTACGTTTTCACGGTTTTGCTTGTGTGCAAGCCAGGGACTGAAGATGCTGTTCCTTGAAGGGAATTTCTTTGAGTCTTTGGATGGTCTACAGCCACTCGCGGAATTACGCTGCTTGTAGGTAGTCTCTCTAAAACTTCTAGTTTTCTCAGCTCAGCTTCGATTTGAACGCGGAGAAAAAAAAAAAAAACAACTCTTTTCCAGGTACGTCCAGAAGAATCAAATTGCTTGTATCAACCATCTCGAGGATCTTAAAATGCTGGACACCTTGGATCTCAGGTTGGTCGCTTCTTCTCTTCCACGAACTTCTCTTGTTTGAAGCTCTCGTTTTGCTCGATGATGCCGACAGTAACAACTGCTTGAAAACGCTCGAGAATCTCTCGGCTTGCCCGAGCCTCAAGGTCCTGCAAGTCTCAAACAACTATCTCAAGTCTGTGGAATCCATCGAGCACCTCAAAGACTGTACCTCGATATGGTAAGCATTGTCATCTCTTTCTTCCAGCTTGTGGTCGTGACCCTCGAGCTTGGGAAACTCCATGAAGCGTTCTCGACGTATCGTCCAACAAACTTGACGATGGAGAGGGAGTTTTGAGAGTTCTTAAAGCCATGCCCGAGCTTACCGTGCTTTACTTATCCGGTAATCCATGCGTAACGAACCTGCAGCACTATCGCAAGGTAAGTCCATGTTTTAAACTTGAGAGAAGCTTACCACTTTGCTGTAGACTGTGATCTCGAGTCTTCCCAAGCTCAACCATCTGGATGATCGGCCAGTGTTTTGGGACGAGCGTCTTTGTGCCGAGGCTTGGTAAATGAACTCGCTTGATCTTTATCTGCCCTGCCCTGTTGAGTTGTAAGACCACTGCAGGGCCAGAGGTGGATATCAAGCTGAGCAAGAGGAACGAGAGCGTGTTAAAGCTATAAGGAGCGAAATGGAGATAAAGCAACTGGAAAGTAAGTTTGTTTACCTGATGAAGAAGTTCTTTTGAGAGAGACTTGTCACACAGGCATGAGAAAGATAAGAAACGATGCTCTCGAAGAAAGAGCCCGGTTGGAAGCTGTGGAAGCGATGGAGGAGGAGGAGAGAAGTACCAAGGACGCGCAAGTTGAGGCATGCTTTCAAAGTCGGGATTCTACCACCGTAGCCGAGGAGGTCGAAGAGGAGCTGGAGACTTCTGGCTCCGAGTGTTTCACTCTGGAGAGTGATACTGAGAACTACAACGACATCGAGCTTACAGAGCGCTCGGAGCGATCAGACGAGCAGAGGCTTGGCTCGGATACTCCTGTGACAAACGAGGACATGACAGAGACCAAGGAGGACGAACGAAAGGACAGTTCTGGGACGAAAGAGAACCTTAGTCCAGAGACAAAAGAGGACGAACAGAACATTTTCTCGAAGAAATCTCAGGACGAACGAGTGCTTAACTTGAAGACAAGGGAAGACGAACACACGGTTAGTGAGACCAAAGAAGAGGACGAACAGAAGCTTAGCTCGGCAGCCGATGCAAAGGACAATAGTGTCTGTTAAAATTGAACGGACAAATGTAGAATCAGCAAAATTTCAGCCTCCCTAGAAACCACTCACAGAAAACACATGGCCATGTGATGCGAAAGCTATGGTACAGGCGAGAGAGTTACTCACACGCTTATTGCTCTTGTGAATCTTCTTTCACTTTGGAAGGTCATGGAGGAACTCGACGAACTCGTCAATCAGGTATGGCCATGCTCCCTCGGAGTCGTAGTTGGAAAGCGATGAATCAATCGACTGCCAGGGAAGATATCACGCAAATTAGTTTCACAGACTACAAAACGCTTACTTTGGAGAACTCGAACAGCTGCGACCACGTATCTTTCGATATGGCCTTGTTGTGCTTAGCCTGCGATTCACATGTATAACTTAGTTTCTCAACCAAGGTTCGTATTGCATACGTACTTGTAAAAACTGGCACCAAGGCTCTACCAGCGGCCAAGGATGCTCGTTAAACAGTAGGCGCCACATACCCAACGCCGTATCTAATGCAAGCGATTTTTGACCCTGAAAGATCCAGCATAAGCCCACTTGGACAAAAAGAAACACAAACCTTTTCCTTGGCCCAGTTGAATGCAAAGTTATAAATCTCTCGAAACTTGTCTGCAACCATGTAGAAAGCGTTTGCAATGAGAAAGCTAAACGCATGGTGAGGGTTAGAAAATCATACTAAGTGAGAAGGCCTACGTTCTTCTTTAAGCTCTGCCCGAAGGGACGGAAGAAGTGACTTTAGCTTATCGATGGAGTCCACCCTGACCGAGACACCGACTTAGAGCGATCATGATCATCAAAGGATAGAAACCAAAAACTCACCCAAGAGATTGAAAGCCAGTGATGAACTCTTGCCTCGAAAACTCACACATTGTGGCCGCTCCCATATGCCACGAGATGACGAGCATCACAACATCTCCGGGGTCGACTTTGAGATCGTCACAGAAAGCCGAGATGCCATCGACCAAGATCATATCCGAGAAACGATCTGAAAGTTGGAAAACAATGGATCGTCAAAGAAAAGAAAAGTTTTCCATCACCCCATACCTTTGTAACGCATGTAAAGCTCCTCTAAGTGCCGAGGATCCGCCATTGGCTTGGACACTGGCTGGTTCGTATAAAAGTACTCGAAAGCCCCTTCCAAGTTCCAATCGCTCGCCTTCAGTGCTGTCAAGGAGGCCTTCTCACTGCCATGGAAGAACAACATCAAGAAGAAGATTCAAGCAAAACAAAAAAGAAAAGACAATCTCTACATACGTTGCTCCCGCGATTGACATGAACTGATGGACTTTGTCCCGCTGTGATCTCCCCAGCTTATGCTGAAAGAGCGCATCGATCAAGGAAAACGAAATTTGCGAAAGAAACCTAAATGGCGCTAGCATCGAATCGATGCGCCGCGCAAAGATTATGCTCGCAGTCGATAGAAACGTACCATCTTCGTGGTCCCGCTGCCCAGCGCTAGGTCCCCCTCTCTCTCCTATCTCTCTCGCATTCCCTCGTCGAAGGAGCTATATACGCGAGTGTTATTTTCCCCTTCCTTGTATAATCAGGTTTGAACCCTAGACCTAAAGATCTTTATAAAACGAATATGCTTTAAAAATTCTTTAAGAATATTCTTTGGATATAGGAAATCTTTCTCCGGTATCGAACCCCCGGCGCCTGGGGAATAAAGACTTTGGCTATGGTAGACTACCACAACGAACTGTCAAGGCGATGGCGATGGCGGCGTCTCCCGGAGCGTCGCATTTGCATGCCAGATCGGGATCCTCGAGGTCGCCAGCGAATCAGGCGCTCTCCGCCTCGTCGATCGCATTGCCGCAGCGGTGCATCGAGTGCCGGATTTCGTCGGCGTCGTCCCCCAGCCAGCGCCAGATCGTCCACGCCGTCGCCAGGGAGCCGCTCAAGGTGATGATCTCCGGCGCGCCGGCGTCGGGCAAGGGGACGCAGTGCGAGCTCATCACGGACAAGGTATGCCGATCGTCTTTGCCCCGATAGGATTTTGCGCATTGGGGCCTGGACGATCGATCTAGGGGTCTCCACGGCACGATATTTCGACCGGAAGTCGATCGATTGATCGCTTGATTTTCATTTGTGACTAACTCACAAGTTCTTTTGTGTGATCACAGTATGGTCTTGTACACATAGCAGCTGGAGATTTACTGCGAGCCGAGGTAGCCGCGGGCACTGAGAATGGAATCAAAGCTCAAGAGTATATGAACAAAGGCCAGCTCGTTCCAAACGAGATCGTAGTGTCAGTAAGAACACTTATTCTAGCCTCTTATAGTTCTAATCTAACACGAGTTATTCATCGTTTTGTGTTTGTTTTGTTCTAGATGGTGAAGCGAAGACTGGAAGAGCAGGACGCGCAGGAGAAAGGCTGGCTGCTGGATGGCTACCCGCGAAGCGTGTCGCAAGCCGAAGCGCTGGAAGCTCTAAACATCCGGCCTCACGTCTTCATCCTCTTGCAAGTAAGTGGTCGTTTAGTTTTTCTTTGTCTAGCCTGAAACGATCGAACTTCTCTTACCGATTTTTATCCAGGTTCCCGAGGACATTCTCGTGGAAAGAGTGGTCGGCAGGAGATTGGATCCCGTCACGGGAAAAATCTACCATCTTACGTATGCTCCTCCCGAGACTCCAGAGATCGAAGCTCGGCTAACTCAGCGAAGCGACGACACGGAAGAGAGGGTAACGTAGCATTAGAAACTTTCCCTGGCTTAGTTTTCTCTTCGATTTCCTTCCTCCAGGTGAAGCTCAGGCTTAAAACTCACCGGCAAAACGTCGAGGATGTGCTATCGATCTACTCAGACGTGATTGTTCCGGTAAGTTTTGGATCGATCACGAGCTCTTTATTTGCTGAGAATTCTCGATTTGTTTGACACAGGTGGATGGAAATCGGCCCAAAACCGAGGTTTTCTCGAGCATCGATTCGATTCTAAACGAGATGGTACAAAGCGAGCAATTAGGAGAGGCCATGAGCTCGAGCTAAAGAGCAAAATAAAATTTTTTGGCGAATATGCCCGTAGATTCTTTACAAAGAATATGCTTAAAATCCTGGGAGATGCTTATAGTGGATTCTTTAATGGCCAAATTCTAGGGTTTTTGCGCTTGTGGCGATGGCGATCCTCGAGTCCCCGCGCGTTGGCGCTGGAATGCTGGATCACATCCGATCCCTCACGGATGTCGGCACCATGAATCGAATGCTCCACGAGAGCATTGCGTACGAGCGCAGCATCGACGGTGAGCTGGAGAGCCTTCTCGCGCAGCGCCAGGAGGTGGAGAAGAAGCTGCTAGGGCTCCACCGGACGGGCGAGGTGCTGGAGATCGTCCGCGCCGACGCGGAGCAGATGCTCCGCAGCGTGGAATCGACGTGCGCGCTGGCCAATCTGGTGAGTGGTAAGGTGAGGGAGCTGGATCTGGCGCAATCGCGAGTCCAGGAGACCCTAGCCCGGATCGAGGCGATCGTGGATCGCGGCAGCTGCATTGACGGCGCCCAGAAGGCGCTGGCGAGCGAGGATTACGAGTCGGCGGCCAGGAACGTGGAGAGATTTCTCCAGCTCGAGGAGAGGATGGGGGGCCTGGTGGATCCCGCGAGTGACCAGCACGTCCAGCTGCTGGAATCCAAGAGGAAGCTGGAGGAGGTGATCAAGAAGAGATTCTACGCGGCAGTGGACGCGAGAGATCACGCCGGGGTGGTGAGATTTGCGTCGCTGTTTGCTCCTCTTGGGCTCCACGAGGAAGGGATCAAGGCCTACGTGAGCTACCTGAGGAGATCGGTGGATCATCGCGCTCGCGATGGCTTCGCGGCCGTGAAGGAGACTCCAGACCAGGCGGACTTTGTGGCGGCGCTCAACAACATCTTCAAGGACATCGCCGAGGCGATCGAGGAGAACGAGGAGCTCCTCAAGAGCTTGAATGGAGAGGATGGGCTCGTCTACGCGATCCGGGAGCTGCAAGAGGAGTGTGACTCGCGCGGCTCGGCCATCGTGAAGAAGTATATGGAGTTTCGCGGGCTGGCCAAGCTGGAGAAGGAGATCATCGCGCAGACAAACGCGGAGAAGGACATCGTCGCGCAGTCCAAGCTCTTGATGTCCGCCGGTGGCGCTGCCGAGGGGCCGGATCTCCGCAGCATCGAGATGTTCTTGGAGGAGATCCTGCTCTTGATCCAGACCAGCGAAGACTACACGCAGTATATGATCGGGAGAGTGAGGGAGGCTGGATCTTCCGGAGCTCAGCTCAGCCCGCGCTCCACCACATCTTTCAAAGTCGGGAGCTTCTACCGCGCGGTGCAAGAGCTGACGAGCCACTATCGCTTGCTGGAGGAGTACTTCATGGCAGAGAACGTCCGCAAGGCGATCAAGCTGGACGAGTTCCCGGCCAATTCCCTGACGACTTCGGTTGTGGACGACGTCTTCTACGTGCTCCAGAGCTGCACCAGACGCGCGGTCTCCACGTCCAACGTCCATCTCACGCTCTCGATCGTCACTTGCGCGGCCAACCTACTGGGAAACGAGTACAAGGACGCGCTCCAGAGGAAGATGCGCGAGCCAAACCTGGCGATGAAGCTCTTCGCCGGAGGAACAGGGGTGGTGAAAGTGGGAATGGAGGTGGCGGCGGCGCTAAACAACATGGACGTGAGTGCCGAGTACGTCCTCAAGCTAAAGGCCGAGATCGAGGAGCAGTGCAACGAGGTAAGCGGTGCTTCTCGTTTGCTTTCGTCTTTTCTCACGGCTTTAGCAACAGATCTTCCCCGGCCCCGCCGAGAGGGAGAAGCTCAAGTCCTCGCTACTGGAGCTGGGCGAGGCGAGTGTCTCGTTGCGGCAGATCACAAACTCGGGCCTCGAGCAGCTCGCCAACTGCATCGCCCCTCGGCTGCGCTCCACGCTAGACGCGGTGGGGACTGTTTCTTACGAGCTCACCGAAGCACAGTACGCGGAGAACGAGGTGAACGATCCGTGGGTCCAGAAGCTGCTGCACGGAGTGGAGGCCAACGTGAGCTGGTTGCAGCCGCTGCTCACGGCCGGGAACTACGACACGCTCGTCCACCTCGTCATCGACTTCATCGTGAAGCGGCTGGAGGTTGTCATGGGCCAGAAGCACTTCAACCAGCTGGGGGGACTGCAGCTGGACAGGGACGCGCGAGCGCTGGTGGGGCACTTCTCGGGGATGACGCAGAGGACGGTGCGGGACAAGTTCGCGCGGCTCTCGCAGATGGCCACCATCCTCAACTTGGAGAAGGTGTCGGAGATCCTCGACTACTGGGGGGAGAACTCGGGGCCCATGACGTGGAGGCTCACACCCAACGAGGTCCGTCGCGTTCTGGGGCTCCGGCTGGATTTCAAGCCCGACGCCATCGCCGCGCTCAAGCTGTGAGCCATAGCGACGTCCGAGTCTCGATCGATCGATGGGAACTTTTGTCCGTCGGGTTTAGAGGAGAGAGAAGCTCAGCTCCCCCCGGAAAGCTCCAAGACTCTTTCCAGGAGGACGACGTTCCAGCGCTCGCCATCGCCATTGCTCCAGCGGTTTCTCTTGCGGCTTTAATTTTCTCGTTGGAAAGGTATGTTTGCGAGCTGAGCGTTTGGATCCATCGCCACTTTTTCTTCTCTCTTTTCTTTATCTTTCTTTGCAGGAAGATGGCTTGAATGAATTCGTAGCTGGCAAGCACATGTAACTGGCGGCTGGTGGCCAAGGATGGAGCTTTCATTCACACTGGAGATTCCACTGTGTTGGTAGAATATTCTCCCTTTATAAAAAAAATTCTACTCTGTTGGTAGAATATTCCTCCATTTTTAAAAAAGAGAACTATACACGCTTGGAAACCAACGAACTCCCTGGCGCGAGAAACAATCCATCCATCCGTCCATGCGTTTTTTTGTTTGGATCTCTCTCACGCTTTGTACTTACAAAACAATATCATTCACCTATCATTCATCTCGTTCCATTGTCTCGAGATTGATCGATTCGCTTCCACTCAATTCTTTCTCTCTTTTTTTTTTTGGTTTCTTCGCACTCGTTCTATCTGGTGCTGGCTGCCTGGCTTGATTTTTTCCCTGATCCAGTCCTGTCCAATCCAGGGGAAACCATTCTTTTTCTCGCAATCACGATTCCAGAATCGAGTTGTTCCTGGATTTTTTTTCTTGCCTTTCCCCTGTTCCTTGCTTTGCGCCCCGCCGCCTGTGAAGGATCATAGCAGCAATGCTTTCCTCTCCAGTGGAGCGAAAGCACCACCTCCCTTTTCACGCAAAATTCTTCGCCTTTGCTGCTGCTGCTGCTGCTGCGATGGATGATAACTTTGTGCCGGTGTGTCCCTGCTGTTGAGCACTGGCGAGCATTAACAAAGCCCCCGGAAAAAAGAAGACCCCGCTGTAGCACGATCCTGATCCCTGACGATGTAGAGATATATATCCCCATCCACTGCCGCTTACCACCACCACCACCACACCTTTCTCGCTAGCTACAGCCGATCGTGTCCAAAAAATTTATGTACCGAAGGCCTGATTGCCAGACGCCAGCGCAATCTCACCACCACCTGGAGATAGATCCCCACTGTTCTTCCCATCTTTTCCTCCTTTCACGACAGCTCCTTCCTCAGCTTTCGCGAGAAAGGCTGGCAGGCGTCGATGCTCAAGTCCACCGCGGCTGCCAGAGCCATGAACACCGCTGCGTCCTCGGCGCAGGTGATGTGCCGCATCGCCAGCTGAACCAGCGGCCTGCCGGAGGAGCTCTGCCGCTCACCCCGCGTCGTGCAGCTCATCACGAATCCCCCCGACGCCGGCAGCCCGACGTTGATGAAGTTGCAGTCTCCACTGCTGCGGGGGCTCTGCACGGGAGTTCTCGCCGGCGACGGCGTTGCCGGACGAAACCTCGCCGTGTCGATCGAGAACTCACCCCCGGAGTGTGAGCTGATGACCGTCTCCGAGACCAAAGCGCCCCCAACGTTTGCCGTGCCGCCGCCACCATTCTCCGCAACTAGCTGGAAACGAAGCCCGAGGCCACCTTTGCTGCCTCTTTCTTTCCACGCCTCGAGCCTCCCCCACGGCTCCCAGCTGTCTCCACTTGTGGAATCCGGGCGGAGGATGAGCCAGGCCCCGGGATTGGAGCGGCTGACGCGGTCACTCCCCGCCGACGGCACGAAAGGTGTCACCATTGACGCAGCAGCCACGGGGGAGCCGGATAGATCATGGATCATGATCAGCCACCCTTTGCGTTCCTTCCTCTCCTTGTGATCATGGCCTCCCAATGGACCCGACCACTTCCCCGCACCGCTACGAGGAGTCTCACACAGTCCCAGCCTGAGAGAAAAAAAAAAACAAACCATCCAAAGAGTTAGACCACCAAACTCTCTCCAGGAAAAACTCTGACAAGCTCACCTTGATCGGCTCAGTCTATCCCTGCTGAATTTGCAGCTGAAGAGCGGTTGCGTGATCTTGCCTTGAATCTGCACGATCTGGGGGCTGGCCACCGTCTCCCCATCAAACTGGAAAATGTAGCGAGGATCCGCCTCCACTTTGATGACGAGATGGAGCTCGGCTCCTGGCTTGCCATCGGTGGAATTCCCCTTGCCAATGCCCGTCCAGCCGCTGTGGAGCTGGATGGGCTTTCCTTCCATCCACTGCGAGCTCACCGGCAGCGAGAATGTCCCCATGAGCTTCCCTTCTTTCACTCCACACCGAGTTCCCTGCCGTCCAGTGTAGACCAGAACTTCCAGGCATGGAAACGAGCTCTTGAAGCACGAAGTTGGCGAGAGGAGCTTGTCGAGGGCCGACTCGTCGAGGTAGAAGTTGGCGGCGATGCCACGATCCGGGGGTGGCGATGTGGGCGAGACGAGCGGCACTGGCGTGGTCTGGACTGGGTAGCCTGGAAGACGGACCTCGCAGAAGAATGGCGATGTCGAGGAGTGGACTCCTGTTCTAGCGGGCTTGGAGGCGAGCGGCACCCGGACGCCCAGAGCACTCACTGAGAGCTTGACGAATGCGCGAGGATCCATGTCGATTGCTGGCGAGTGATCCTTTTGCCCATGCTCAGAAGATCGCTGCTATGTAGTCATTGAGTGCCATGATCTTTGCCCCTGTGGCTGGATGGATAGTGTGATCGCGGCCCGCCTCTCTTCCAGCCTTGGAAGGCACTGTAAAGGAATGCTTGCTTGCCTGGATAAATGCTGTGCTTTGCTCGTAACGTAAGCGAGGGAGAGAGAGAGGAAGAGGGGGAGATAGAAAAATCGGCAAGAGAATCGAAAGGGGAGAACCTTCCAAAAGCAAAATCCCTCGCAAAGATCCCCGAATTCTTTTCTTTTCACTCTGCTATCCAGCAAGAACCCCAGGAATCGCGAATCGACGAAACGCACGAGAAAAGAGGAGAGGAGGGGGGGGGAGGAAACCTGGAGCGCCGCTGCGCGATCTTCACTCGAAATGCGCGTCGACGACCACCGATCCAGCCGCGAACAAAAGAAATCCCCTGAGAATCCACTGGAGCGCGGTAGAATATCGAGGATGGAGAGCAAGATTTCCGGCAGGGATTCGTGCGCGCCGGCCTAGGGCTCCTCGCTCGCTCTGGATGGATCGATCTCTCTAATAGGAGAGAGAGGGATTGAAAGAAGAGAGAAGAGAGAGAGGATCTTCCAGCCCAGTACACTACACACACAGCCAAGCCTGGCCTGTATTCCAGTAGGGTTTTTCGCGTTTTCTTGCCAATGCCATGCCAACTCACACACCCTCTTTCACAGCCAGGCAATTAACAGCCTGGCGGGCAAATGGAGGGACCGGCAGTCCGCGACGGCAATATCCAGCAGCTAACAGCGACAAAAAAGCCCAGCTGACGTGGACTAGCCAGTTGTCTAAACCCTAACTCTTAGGGTTTTAGCCCTGTTTTAGGGTTTTGCCCACTTTTAGGGCTCTTGGAACTTTTCCCACAACGTGGACATTGCTTCTAACCGACACTAGGTAGGGGATCCCCGCAAGCAAGCATTGCGTGAACACCTGGCCGGTCCAATAGTGTTCTCGCTTGTATTGTCCGAGCGGGGCATCGATCGATCCATCCTTGTTCGCGTTGTTTGCTTTGGCCGCTCCAACAGTGATCGATCGGCCGTTTCCACGCGCTGCGAATTGGAGCCCTCCTCTGGATCGCGCGATCTTTGGCTTCCTTCATGGCGATTGGAGCTACTCTGGAACAATTAAAACCACGCGTGAGCGTCCGAGGAGAAGAACAAGAGGAGGAAGACAGATTTATGGAGAGTACCATGGTGATCTGGGAGGAGCTCCCGCGGGATCTCGTGAGTAGCGTCGTTTCGTGGCTGCCAATCACCGACATTCTTCGATCGCGCACCATCTCCAAGCAGTTCCATGCGTGGATCAGCAGCATCAGCTTCCTGGACGAGATCGCAAGAGTCCCAACGCGAAGTTCCTGGCTGGTTCTCTTCCCCAGCTCCACACCATCCATCGCCAGTGCCTACGATCCATCGCTGGACTCCTGGCTCTCGCTTCCGGTCCCGCTGCAAATCCAGCCACTGGCTTCTTCCAGAGGATTGATCTGTGGAGCTCCAAAACCCCATCTTGGGAGCGGCAGTAGCAGGAGCAGCAAAGAACTCCATGTTTGCAATCTCGTGACGAGATCATGGGTGAGAGTTCCTCAGCCTCGGGAGATGTCGCGATTCTTCTTCCTCGTCGTCGGGATGGTTTCCACCGGCAGGAGCGGATTCACGATCGTCGTCGCCGGATCCGACCTCGTCTCCCACCATGCCTCCGCCAACTTCAAGCTCTCCGCCTGGGTGTTTGAGTCGCGCAGCTGGAAGTGGACGAAAGGTGGCACTGTTTTGATCGACGCGGCCATCTCGACGAGCAAGGCGATGAGCGGCAGCACGCTGTTCGTCGTGTCTGGAAACCGCGAGCTCGCAGCATACGATCTTGGTCGAGGAAGCTGGCGGCGTGTGGATCTTCCAGCAAAGGAGCTCACGTCAGTGAAGCTGGTTGATCGTCTGGGAAGGCTGGTGCTCGTTGCTCGCACTAACCAGGACGAGATCTCCATCTGGGAACTCCACCAAGAACAGCACAGAAGCCGAGAGAAATCTCTTCCAAGCGATGATCCAAGCTTCTGGATAGAACTGGACAGAATGCCTCGGTGCTTGAGCGACGAGCTTCTCCTCAAATCACCGTCGCGAAGATTTGCGTGCGTTGGAAGCGGCGATGTGGCTTACTTCTCCGGCACCAAGTGCGCATCGATCCTCGCCTACACATTCTCGACCAGGAGCTGGCGATGGACGAGCTGCTGCTCCAGCAATCCCCATTACGACATGCTCCGGGGCATCTGCCTCGAGCCCCGGCTGGAAATCAGCCCCGGATCATCCAAGAAGTAGTGAGAAAACCCTGTAAGATTGTTCTTCCACTCCAAGAACATACCATTGGATTGCAGATCGCTCTCGCCTCGTTCGCTTGTATGCTTGCGCTAGACCTAGAAATATTGCTAGAAATGTGAGCTTGGAGTTAAACCTAGAAGGGGGCTTCTCTTTCTCTTCGATGGAGTGATGGGAAAGAACAAGCGCGGCGCCCCCGCCAAGAGCAAGGGCAAGGGCAAGGGCAAGGGCAAGAGCAAGGCGCGGCAATCCATTACCAGCAATGCCAGCGACGACGGCGATGCGCTGCTCGACGAGGAGATCACCGCTTTGTAAGTTTCACGCGAATTGTAGCTCAGCCGACTGAATTCTCCTCGATCAGATCGGCGATATTTCAGAACGATTTCAGCGTTGTCGCGGATCATCTGATCAAGGAGCTCACAATAAATCTTCGGTAAGCTTTTTCTTCGTGAGAATTTCTTTTTCTCGAGCAATTATCTTCCAGGCCACATTCTGAGAATGAAAACGATTTTTCTGCTCATCTCTTCGTAAGGTGGGGTTGAAAATTTGTCTAGCAGAAAATTCTTCGCTCACTTGGTGCTTGATTGCTAGGTGTTTTCCTGGCTATCCCTGGAAGCCCCCGAAGTTACAAATCGCAGCGAGTGATAAATCGTTGGAAACTGAGTGCCATATTCTACACGGAATGCTGGTGGAACAGGTTCGCAAACTGTAGTCTAACTCATTGTCGATCTAGCATTTTCCTTCTTAGGCTGCTTTGTGTGCTCGAGAAGGAAGAGTTATGATCTTCAATCTTGTTGAAGCTGCCCAGGAGTATTTCTCGGAATGTCTCGCCAACTTAGCTCAAGAGCAAAAAAAGGTAAATTCTCTGAGAATCTTGGTTCTGACATGGCCATATCGTTTCATTTTCTGTGTCTAGGAGTTGGACGAAAGCATCGCACAAATGTCCGAGCCTCCCATTGTCAAGGAATCAGAGCCAGTGAACTCTGATTTCGTCTACTGTGACTTATGGGAAAATAGTGGCACCTGGGAAGGCCCGGACAGTCTTCCCACTGGACAGACTCCATTAGAAAAGGAGATTCCTTCGTCAAGTATTCCAAGCAGACCTGGTTTTCGGAGACCACCAGCTTTAGTTTTACCAGAGCTAAAGCCGCGGGATTCAAAGCAACATATTAAAGGTTTAGATGCTGATAATGAACCCCGCGAAGCATCGGCAGAAGACGAGCAGTTATCTAAAGACGCGGCTGTGAGCGAATTTCTGCTTAAAGCATTCTCTGGCTACAAGGTGGCGCGAACTACGAGGGTATGATTTCTAGTTTTAGTCTTTGCTAATTAGTGGCGCTTTTTGTAGCAACCGGCTATGACTTCTGAGGCACTGGGAACCGGAGGCGACGACGACGCCATATTTGCCATTCAAAAGGACTTGATTCTGGTTTGTACATTTTATAATTTTCTTGGCTGATATCGTTGCAGGTATATCTACTTCGTTTGGCCTGTGGCAAGAAAGGTCCTCTACCGAATTCATTGTCCGAATTGACTTCTCAATTGTCACAACTCGGTGTACGTGATGTTTTTCGAGAGAATTTGCTGTATAAGTTTCTTTTTATGCAGATCATGCCATCGTGGGCCGAGGACTTGGTTTCTCGTCAACCTCAAATGTTTCAGGCAACATTCAAACGTATTTTTAAGCAGACCGTCGACAAGGATAATGTTTCGGAGTTTAAAGTAAGCATTGACATGATCATTGTTTGTGTTTTCTATTTCTAACGATGAACTTAGAGAAATTTGGAAAGGTTTTGGAATGCAAGTCCCGATTTGTTAGGAGAAAATGATGGCAATCTTGCAGCAATGAATTCGAGATACTTGTCTGACTTTGAAGAGCTTTGTTTGCTGGGTAAGGAAGAGCGTGATGGAATTTTCTTTACAAAAAAATCTCACGTGTTTTACACAGGGAAAGGTGGATTTGGCCATGTAGTTTTGTGCAAAAATAAACTCGACGGGCGACGATATGCCATGAAGAAGGTCAAGCTTAAAGATGAAAACCCTTCCGACAAGATCTTGAGGTAAGTTATTGCCAGACTACAACGATCCTGAGACAAAATGTGACAGGGAGGTTGCTACTCTTTCACGTTTGCAACATCAACATGTTGTTCGCTATTATCAGGTTTGAGTTTCCTGTTCGTTTCTATGCCTGTGCTCAATTAATATTCATATAGGCGTGGTTCGAGACAGCAGCAGGGGGTTCTTCTGGCACTCCCTATGGAGAAGAATCTGAAATTTCGTCAAGCTGGGTCGATACGCCGGGCTCCTCAAGCAACGATGTCAACACGGTTTCAACATTTTTGTACATTCAAATGGAATACTGCCCAAGGTTGGTGTTAGTGCATTCTTTTTAGACCGTGTGACCATGTGGTTTCGATTTCAGGACGTTGAGAGAAGTGTTTGACACACGATCAGTTCTAGACAAGGAGTTGACTTGGGGAATTTTTCGTCAAATTGTCGAAGGCCTTTCACATATACATGGGCAAGGAATCATACATCGAGATCTTACGCCAAGTAATATATTTTTTGATACTCGAAATGATGTCAAGATTGGTGACTTCGGCCTTGGTAAGTTTCGCATATTACGTATCAAATCGTTTATGACAGGTGTGTGTGCAGCTAAATTTGCGGATCTGCAAAATCCTGATCAAGATCACCGTGTTCCTGTAAAATTTGAAGCAAACGTAAAGTCACTCGAAGGGACTGGCCAAGTCGGTACCTACTTTTATAGAGCTCCAGAAATTGAACAAGCTTGGCCACACATTGATGAAAAGGTTGGTTTTCTAAGTTAAGAAACTTTACTGATCTTTCCTTTCAGGTTGATATGTACAGTCTGGGTGTCATTCTGTTTGAGCTGTGGCATCCATTCAGCACAGGCATGGAGCGTTATGTCACTTTGAACGAGCTGAAACAGCAAAATATTTTACCTTCAAACTGGGCGGCTAAGTTTCCGCACCAAGCAGCGTTGGTACATTTGCTAGTATCGCCTCATCCTCAAGACCGTCCTTCTGCACGGGAAGTTCTGCAATCCGAGCTCTTGCCTCCTAGGATGGAAGATGAAGCATTGAAAGGTATTGCGACTTTTGGTTTCTACCTTACTTTTCTGGCTTTTCTCGTACAGATATTCTGCGAACCATCCACAGTACCGATAATACTTTTGTTTTTGATCAAGTTATTGCTGCTTTGTTCGACGAGGAAAAACTAGCTTCGAAGACTGATAACGAAGCAAACCTTTCGATTGGTGACTTGGATCACCTTACGCCTAAATGGCTGACAGCACAAGAGCTGGTTATTGGCCTTACTAAAGACGTTCTTACGAGGCACGGGGCCCGCAAATTTCGAAGCCCAAGCATGACCGTAGCTTCTGATGTCAAGACATCAAACAGGTTGGCTTTTTTTTGTTGATCGGTTTAGAGGCTTACTTGTGCGCTTCTAGATCTGCCGTCAAAGTTATTAACTCTTCAGGAACGATGTTTGAATTACGTTATGACACCCGTCTTTTATTTGCGCGTTGGGTTGTCCTAAATCAGGTGATGTGTGTGTGTCTGTTTCTTTCTTCTCAGACGTGCATAATGTTTTCCAGAGCACGTCATGGAAGCGCTACGAGATTTCTCATACTTACAGGAAAGGCGTGGGATATCGTGCGCCAAAGGAGTATCTTCAAGTAAGGAATGTTTTGGTTTACAAAAACACAAAAAGGATTGCTTGCAGGGAGACTTTGACATAATCGGCGGTTATCGTGCATTAGCCGAAGCCGAGGTCATCAAGGTAATTGACGGAGTCCTGCATGGCTGTTCTTTCTTACAATCCAAGCTACAGGCAGCTGCCGATATCATTTCCAGGGTGTCCTCTACTGAAACATGCGAGCTACGTCTTAATCACCTTGAAATTCTAGATACCATATGGAGCTGGAGTGGCGTAACCAGACAGCAAAGGAAGAATGTGGCTCAGGTATGCTCTTGGATTTTACTTTTGAGATATTTTCTGTGCTTTATTTCAGATACTTGGAACTATGACCTTCCTCCGTCCTCAATCAGCAGACCGGAAGGCCAGATGGGTTTTTGTTCGTCGGCAGCTTATCCAGGCATGCTAATACGTGCTTAAGCTTTGTGAGGCTCAGTTTTTGCTGCAGGGTTTACATTTATCCGAAGCCGTGGTAGACAGGCTTCAAACAGCTGAACGTCGCTTCACAGGAAACGCGGATGAAGTTCTTGCTCGACTAAGAGGAGCTTTATCTAATAGTAAGATACTACTCGTGTTTAACAAGCATAACCTTTGATCAGGTCCATCGAGCATCGAAGCGATTGAAGAGCTCTCAAGACTACTAAGCTATTTGAGAAATTGGCGTGTAGAAATGTTACTTACGGTCGACGTTTTCATCGTTCCGAGTGATTACTACTTTAATGCCGCGTATTTTCAGGTGATGAATATGATTTTTGACTCAGCTAACAGTGCATGATATGTCAGATATATTTTCCTAGAACAAGCTACCCCGGGGCTCAGGGTATGCTTCTTGCCGTGGGAGGCCGCTATGATGTACTTCTTGAACACCTCGCTAAGGATTATGGAGTAAGAACTACAACTGTCCTTGCTTTCAATAACTTCACTTGATCAGGTACACACTCCACCGGGGGCAGTGGGACTGACTATTGCTTTGCAAAAGCTGATCCATATTGCTATGAAAGATAGGTACTACGGAAGCTTGTTTATCAATGCAGAATTGAGCTTGTCATGCAGTAAAAATGAAACGGAACCTGCTGAAGTTCTCGTATGTTGCCGAGGAGGGGGTGGTCTCCTGAAAGAGAGAATGGAATTAGCAGACGAATTATGGTCCGCAAATGTCAAGGTGAGCAGATTTATTGTGGTCATTCTCAACAAGCATCTACGTAGCAGGCGGACTTTGTATGTGCGATTGCTCCGAGCCTGACTGAGCAGTACGAATATGCGCATGACAATGGAATCAAGGTGCTTGTAATCATCACGGAGTCCGGCTTATCCCAGGGGGTGGTCAAGGTAGTTTGCCTCCTCCTGTTTCCAAAGCTAAATCTTTTCGGTGTTGCATGCAGGTTCGCCATTTAGACTTCAAGTTTGAGGTAGACGTTCGCAGGGATGACTTGGCTAAAAGCTTGGCGGATTTGATTTCTGGTCCCCTAGCCGTGAAAATGCTACGACAGTCTCTGATCTAATCTGGTAACTTGATCTCATGAATTTTTTTTAAATATGATCTAATAGTTATGCTTAGATTCTTGTGAGCTTCTCAAAGTACACCCTTATGTGTAAGTTATTCCTTTTATGCGTTACTCCTCTCACAGCTCCGAGCATGATGCAGGTGCGAAAGTGACGGTGGATTTCTCATTGTCGAACATGATATGGTAGCCTTGCTGCATCACATTGCCGATGATATTAATCCCGATGCTTGCGCTGGACATGATAGCGAGACAAGCGACTGATTCGTTCCACGCTTCGGCATCGGCTCGACTTGGGACGACGATGTAGTTATCTTGGTGAAGGTTCATCCAAGCGTCCGGGAAATGTAGAGCAAGGGAGGGAAAGGTGTAGTCTCTCTGGAGGGAAATGTTATAGCACAGGTCTAGGCCTACCGAGGTGCCGTTAACCAGGGGAAGATTAATCCGGCGGCTGAAAACACTTATCACTTGGATGTACACGCCAAGAGGAAGAAACGTTAGTGTAGTGCCAGAGTCGAAGATGGTGCCAACCGAGCTATCGAGGTCGCTGTGAGGCATGGAAATGGTATAGCCGTCAGCCGAGACACTAGTGAGGTTCACGAAGTAGAACGTTTCGTCGCCATCGTGGGTGAGAAGAGGTGTGGACTGGGCATTTGAAGCATGGACCGGAGCAGCACTGCCGTAGAAGAAGGGGCTGGGATGGTCAAGTGGCGAAAGACAGTAGGAGAACTTGTTCCCGATGGAGTCACTCAGCTGTGTGATCAACGAGACTTGGCCTCGACCGAAGCCAGCAACGCCGTCTAGGTTCGGGAAGCCGCTTGAAGATAAGCTACAGCCGACGAGGATATCGGAAAACTTCGAACTAGTCGTGTTGGACGTCCTGAGGGAGACGGTCTCCGTGACAACCAGGCCAGATGTTGCTCCTCCTCCTCCGTATTGGTACTGGTACTCGCAAGAGTAGAGGCAGTAGTCGTTGAAGTGTGAGCAGGCATCGGAGCAGCTCACAGTATGGAAAGTTGACGACTGTGTATAGTTGAAGCGGTTGGCGGCGCTTGGTAAGCATTGCACCCAGACGAGGTCACTCCCGGTATCAAACAGGACGTCCATGCGTTGAGGAGGAGTTCCGAGCAGAAGAGGCATTGTGTAAGCACTGCCCACGTCGGTCATGGGGATCCCGGGAATAGCTTCCCCTTTGCCTTCTCCGGCCTTGGACGCTAGATATCTGGCTCGTAGGAAGCTGTTCTGGAACCTCTTGGAGATCGGTAAGTTGGAATCGCGTCTTCTGAGCTCTGTTCTGAATCCATCCTGTTGTGTGGCTCGCAGGAGCGGATGGACGTGAGCAGGAGCAAGTGGAAGCGTGAAAAGAGCCAGCGCGAAGAGCAGCAGGAGAAAGGAGGAGATCGCCATTGCCAAGGCTGTTTTTCGATCGAGCACCCGAGCCGCCGAAGACAGAACTTATGTGAGGCGATGTAAGTATATTTTGCGTGAGCTTGGATTTGTCGTGCGAGCACACCAAGCATGCGGAGCTTATAAAGATTGTGTGTTTCGATTTCCAGGCCAGCACCAAAGGCAGATGGTAGACGGTCTCATCAAAACCGAAGCTTACATTTTGCGTAAGAATCACTTAAGCATTTTGACTTTGCTATACAGCGCTTGTTTTCCCGACTAAAAAGAATTTTCTCCCCTCATCTCTTTTGTGCAGCCGCCAAATGGTTGACTGATCAGATCGAGCTTATTCTTATTTGCAGGTATGTTAAAGGAAAAAAGTGACTCTTTCTAATAAATGTTAATGTCTTCTACAGCTCCAGGTGAAAGACTACCAATCTAACAATTGTTGAAACATTGGATGTTCTTTATTTCCTTCTCGTTTATGAAATCTAATGGTTCTGAATATTCTATGCGCTATGTTGGTGGGAAGTTCACGAGTTTGCCACCACTTTTCAGAGCTCTTGTCCAGAAAGTCGGCGAGCCCCAGCACCAATCTCTCGGTCTGTATATATATTATTCGTTCGGTATAATGTTCTGAAAGCTATGTTGAGGAGAACGCCATGACACGGCAAACGCTAGTTCTTCTCGTCTGCTCGGTGTTTTTACTCGGCCTGTCCAACTCGGAGTACTACTCAGTCGACACTTTCGGTGGTAACGGGTTTTCAAAAGGACTGAGGTTTGGATTCTATGCAGCTACTTGTCCAAAAGTGGAAACCATTGTCCGGGAGTCTTTCACTAGCAATATCTTTCGAGACCCGACTGCTGCCGGTGCTCTCATTCGTTTGGCGTTCCACGATTGCCAAGTCGGGGTACGTAGATGTTTTCCTCCAATCTTAACAGTTTTGGCCAACTTTCTGTGCTTCTCCAGGGCTGTGACGCGTCCATCCTGCTCAGCTCCTCCGACTCGATCACCAGCGAGCTCGTCTCCGATAGAAACTTTGGAATCCGTCGACTGGATTTCATTGACAGCATCAAGAGCTCGCTCGAAGCGTCGTGCCCGGGTGTGGTTTCCTGTGCGGACATCATAGCCTTGGCTGCAAGAGACTCCATCAGGATCTCGGGGGGACCAAACATTCCCATACTCCTGGGACGAAGGGACTCCACAAGCGCCAGTAACTTAGCGGCCGATCGATCCATTCCACTCCCAACTATCAGCGTCGACGACACCATCAGCCTGTTCCAGTCCAAAGGCATGACGCTCCAAGAAACAGTGGCCATTCTAGGTACTCCTACTTCCAAATTCCCACTGCTGCTCCAGCTCTTTTCTTCGCTCTTTTCTTGTTTGTAGGTGCTCACACTGTTGGTGTTGGCCACTGCGTAAGCGTCCTGGATCGACTGTATCCAACGCAAGACCCCAACTTGCTCCCTCCTCGCTCAGCGCAGCTCCGAGCTCAGTGTCCTCCCACGCCGCCACAGCTCCTCAACAACAACACCTTCTTCGCCAATGACTTCACCAACGTGTTCTTCGACAACCAGTACTTCCGAGACATTCTCAATGGGCAGGGGCTGTTTGGAATCGACTCAAAGATCGCGCTTGACAAGAGAACCTCCCGGATTGTCTCCATGTTTGCGACGAACCAGGCGTACTTCTTTGCGGTCTTCTCCTCGGCGTTTAATAAGATGCTGGCGTCCAACGTTCTCACGGGTAGCAGTGGAGAGATTAGAAGAGATTGCAAGGTTGTCAACTCGTAAGTAGATCATCGAAGTTTAAAGTTCTTTGCTATGGTTGCTATGATATAAAGAAAACCAATTGATTTGAGAAAGGAAGTTTTGACATTGTGATATGAGCTTTGACTTTTTTTTTCAGAGAATGATGGAATGAAAGTGAAGTCGTGGATTGAGAGTTCGATTTTCTCTCTATAAAGAACACGCTAATCTTCGTCACCACCGAAATAAAACCATCAAGAGAACTATATGGGAGCTTTTGGCTTTGTGTTCGTTGAGT